TACCAATCCCAATTCCCACTCCTTCCCTTCCTCCCATTCCCTTCACCTCCCCACCCCCCACCACCCTCCCTCCACTCCTCAGAAATGGTAAGGCACATTGCTATGGGGAAGGTCCAAGGCCCTCCCTACTGTATCTAGGCTGAGCAAGTTATCCATCCAAAGAGAATAAGTTCCCAAAGAGCCAGAACAAGCAGTAGGGATTAATCCTGGCACGACCGTCAGAAACCCCACAGTCTGCCCCAGCCATTCAACTGCCACCCACATTCAGAGGGTCTAATTTGGTCCTATGCTGGTTCCTTCCCAATCCAGCTGAAGTTGGTAAGCTCCCATTAGCTTAGGTAGACTGTTTCAGTGGATAAACCCATCATGGTCTTGACCTCTTTGATTATATTCACTTCTCCCAATCTTCGACTGGACTTTGGGAGCTCAGCCCAGTGCTCTGCTGCAGGTCTCTGCCTCTTCTTTCATCAGTTGCTGGGTGAAGGTTCTATCAATCTGACTACAGGGCAAGGCCAACTCAGGCATTCTCTCCTCTGTTGCTTAGGGTCTTAGCTGAGGTCATCTTTTTGAATTCCTAAGAATTTCTCTACTGCCAGGTTTCTTGCTAGCTCCCAAATGTCTCAGTCAATCAAAATATATCTTCCTTTGCTCTCATCTCTGTCCTTCCTCCATCCAATTATCCTGTTCCCTCAAGTTCTCCTCCCACTCCCCTTCTACCCTCCTCTTCACCTTCCACCCTCCCTTCTCCCCCCACCCCCATGCTCCCAATTTTGTCAGGCGATTTTGTCTATTTCCCTTTACCAGGTAGATCTATGTATGTTTGTCTTAGGGTTCACCTTGTTACTTAGCTTCTTTAGGGTCATGGGCTATAGGCTTGTTATTCTTTGCTTGACAGCTAGTATCCACTTATGAGTGAGTATATACCAAGTTTACCTTTCTGGGTCTGGGTTACCTCACTCAGAATCTTTTTTTTTCCCTAGTTCCATCCGTTTGCATACAACTTTTAAGATGTCATTGCTTTTTGTGGCTGAGTTGTAATCCATTGTGTAAATGGAGCACATTTTCTTTATCCATTCTTCTGTTGAGGGGTATCTAGGTTGTTTCCAGGTTCTGACTATTACAAATAATGCTGCTATAAACATACTTGAACAAATGTCCTTGTAGTATGATTGAGCATCCTTTGGGTATATGTCCAAGAATGGTATTGCTAGGTTCTGAGGTAAATTGATTCCCAGTTTTCCAAGAAACCACCATACTGATTTCCAGGGTAATTATATAAGTTTGTATTCCCACCAGCAGTGGAGTAGTGTTCCCCTTACTCCACATCCTCTCCAGCATAAGCTATCTATTTAGTTCTGTACCCCATTTTGAATGGCATTGTTTGGAATTTTGATGTCTAATTTCTTTATATATTTTAGAGATTAGTCCTTTGTCTGATGTGGGGTTGATGAAGGTATTTTCCCATTCAGTAGGCTGCTTTTTTTGTTTTATTGACCGTATCCTTTGCTTTCCAGAAGCTTCTCAGTTTCAGGAGGTCGCATTTACTTATTTTTGCTCTCAGCGTCTGTGCTAATGGTGCTATATTTAGAAAGTGTGCCCAAGCACTGAAGGCTACTTCCTACTTTTGTTCTATCAGGTTTAGTGCAGTTGGATTTTTATTGAGGTCTTTAATCCATTTGGACTTGAGTTTTGTACATGGGGATAGATATAGATCTGTTTGCATTCTTGTACATGTTGACATCCAGTTATGCTAGCACCATTTGTTGAAGATGCTTTCTCTTTTTTATTCTATAATTTTAGCTTCTTTGTCAAAAATTAGGTGTTTGTTGACATTCTTGCTATCCATACCAGGAACACATTGGTAGCAAGTGTGACTAATGTTGGATTTCAATTAAATTTATGTCATCCACAAATGATTTATTTTTTTGTTATTCAGAAAAGTACCCAATAGCTACTATAAACAGTACAATCCAAGGTAGACTATTTGAATATTTGAATTATTTTAATTTTTTCAAGTAACTGAAACTAAATACTTCTTTTTAGGACTAACTGTACTTAAAAAATTCCAACCTTGTACTGTAAATATACAGCAATAATTAAATTATGAGGATAATTTGGTGTCTTTGTTAGCTGCCAAGTGGAAATACACAATACAAACATGAAAATAAAACATAATTTCAGTAAGCAAACATTCTTACATAATTGACATTTTCTTCATAAATCTGTGAAGGAAAATGTTAGCAGTGAGCACGGCAGATGTTAGCAGTGGACATCTCCAGGTGCTGGGATTACTGCTGACATTTTTTTGTTGTTGTTGTTTGCCTCTGTTATATTTTCAGTACTTTACAGATTCCAGAGAAACTATTAGCTTTACTAGCAGAATAATTGAACTTGTGTTTAAAGAAGGTATTTTATATGAGATAGGAGCATAGGACAGTAAAAGTTGAACATGAGAATACATCCACTGTCTGTCAACTCTGCTCATCTTTCTTAGAGAAGACATTAAGTGCCACATCATGAAGGTTTCATACAAAGTAAAGGTAGTTATGATAAATCACTACCATAAATAATAAGCCTAGACCAAGGCAATCCTTTTTGTGACAAGACAACTCTAATTGCTTTTAATTTCATGCTTTCACTTACAGTGCTTGCTAATTCTTGAATTTGTAATCTCTGGTGTTCTTAGTCATTAGTACAAATTAGCAGTGCTGTGCTATATGCTAATCAGCTGGCTGAAAAAAATCAGCTATGTGGAAAATACTGTAAATAACCTTTTTTCAACTCAATTAAGCAATGTTAGTGTATTACCCCAGGCTTTAAGGAACAAGTAATTGACTGAAGCTTTTAAAAACCTTTGGGTCTAATCTAGAAAACCTTGCACAGACAAAATTCCTACTTCCTTCAGCAGTAATCTTATACACCCAAGAGTATTAGCTTACACCCAGAGATGAAATACTATGTGGGCAAAAGGCGAGGAACACGGGCCAATATTTACTGATGCTGCTCATGCTATCATAATTCTTAATTCCCACAGTAAAGATAGAATTGAAATATGAAACGCAATCAAAGGCATGCCCTTCAGTAATTTCCTAGCTGCACGCTGCTGATGTATGCTAACTCAAGATACGCTGTTATTTTCAAGTGAGTATGTGATAAAATGATTTTAAGAAATTTCACATACCTCTGAACAGTCATGAACAGGAATGGATCAACACATGCAGTTAAAACCATCTCTTAATATTTTAATTCAGATATTAATTTCACTTGACTGTGGTATTTATTAATTTTTTAACACGAGATGTACTAGCATTCTGTAAACCATAGTTTCTTAAACTCTATTTGTAGGCTGGTGACAGTGGCCACAAAATTTTGGCAACTGTAAAAGTTTTTTGTTTTTTATGCAAACAGTAAACTTTTGCAAACAAAAACAAAATTAATTGTGTAGTGGGATGGGTTATAGCTCAGTGGGTAAATTTGAGCAAATGTGAAGAACCAGGTTCAGATCTTCAGAAGCCACACAGAAGGAAGACTTGCTAGCATGCCTCTGTAATCCCAGAACTCATTTGGTTGAATGGGAAGTAGAGACAGGAGAAATCTCCAGAGCTGCAGGGGCCAGCTAGCTCAGCATAGAAACAAGATGTCCCATCTCAAACAAGGTAGAAGATAGCAGGTAACATCTGAGGTTGTCTTCTGACTTCCACACATGCACTGGGGACACAGGCACGTACACTCACACATAAGCACACAAGTCACACATATGAGATCAAATATGTAATGAATTCAATGTGTTTGTGGCAATGCCTGCCCACGTTGCATCAAGTGATGCCATTGCAGCCTTGGTTCTGAACTATACCATTCACTTTATGTTGTGCATGGCATCACACCATGAAATGCCCGCTAATGCTAGATGCCGTCTTCAACACCCACGCTCATACTGAGGTCATAGTGTCTTATGAACTCCAGTAGAGATTACAGCTCTTATGGAAACACAATTGTACAATTAGAGAAAACTAAGACAGCATTCTTCTACCATTATTCTTTATTGTGTATCAAGTTAGTATGCCTTTAAATTGTATTGCTAGATTATCTAGTTTTTATTTTATTTTATTTTTAGACACTGCAGGACTTTAATGTTCTTCACATAGTCAACAGAAAACACTAACAACATATGAACGATGGGGAAAGACCTCAGCAAAAATCTGGAATGTACGGTATTGCCCTGATCAAACTACAAAACAGCCATGTAAACACAATTCACGGGGATGGGAGGGTAACTGAGTTTTGTTTAACAGCCTAACCGGAAAGCAAGCAAGCAACCATTTCTTCTACTTGTGGCCAGGATAAGAAAAGTGAATCATGGAACTTTTAGTTCTTTCTTAGAAAGCGACTTTAGAAGGGAGTCACTAAAGGGTGCAACTGCCCACAGCAGGGGACAGTCGTGCATAAAGTCATGAGCTGAACAAACACTAAAAGCATTGACAGAACTGTCTCATTAGAAATATAAAGGCATAGATATAAATCGTAAGGTATTAAAATCATACCCACTATATAAGTACTCATAGCGTATGTCACTTTTATCTTGTTATGAGAACAGCACAGATTCAAAATACTCACTGTTGACTTTAACCAAAAGCTGCAGAACCCAGAAAACTCACTGCTGTCAGATCCAGCACATGCACTCCAACCTCCTTGGGGTATGCTCCTGTGAACACAAAAATAACTAATCAATTCGGCAGAACAAAGTTTGAGGCTAGGACTGCGATCTGCCTAGGGAACGAAGCCAGGCTGGATTCGTTAGAAAAGCAACAGGAAAGCTTTGAAAGTGCCTTCAGTTCAAGTCAAAATGAAGGTGGCCATCAGCTGGGAGTCCCATCAGCTCTGCAGAGCCCTGGATGGTTAGGTGTTATTCTTTGAAGAAGAGTCTGTGTTAAGCATGCATTGGGGGAAATCCACATCTGTTAAGTTACTGTAGCCGATCTGAAGGTACTCTGAACGCCGCATGGTGCTCACAGACAGCTTGGAGCTGGTCACGCTCACAGCTGATGCATCTCCAAGAAGTTCTTCATGAAGGCAGCCAGCTTCTCAACATCTTCAATGGTGACAGCATTATACAGAGAGGCACGGATGCCTCCCACTGACCTGTGCCCCTTCAAGGAGATCATGTTGAGTTCCACTGCCTTATCAAGAAACTGCTTCTCTAAAGCTTCATCTCCTTTGGCATTGCCAATGCGAAATGGAATATTCATCCTGCTTCTATTCTGGCGCTCCACTGGACATACATAAAATCCTTGAGAATTGTCAATTATCTCATAAATCATTTGGGATTTGATGGAGCTGAGCTTCTCCATGGCTGCGGCTCCACCATTGTTCTTGATCCATTCCAGGACCGTGCCCATGACGTAGATGCTGAAACACGGAGGTGTGTTACACAAAGAGTTGTTGCCAGCCTGCAGTTTGTATTCAAGGACTGAAGGACACTCTCTGAGGGCGAACCCCAGCAGGTCATCACGGACGGTCACCACTGTCACCCTAGCAGAGCCAACATTCTTTTGAGCACCAGCAAAAATCACAGCAAACTTGGAAACGTCCACTGGCCTGGATAAGAAGTTTGAGGACATGTCACAGACCAGCACGGCTCCCTTGACGTCAGGTATGAAGTGGAACTCCACCCCGAGCACAGTCTCGTTTGCACAGAAGTACACGTAGGAGGCGTCCGGGTTGAGGTTCCAGGTGCTTGGGTCTGGAACTTTTTAAATGGACAAGTTAGCTATTCTACATGGGAAATTAGGTGGTGAATTTGGCTCTTCCATCCCATCTCTATTTCTGTTTAATAGGCAATTACAGAACAATTGAAAGTATTTACTTTTTTTCCCCTTTATCTTTGGGGCTAGATTGTCTTCTGTCGGGTGAGGACACCCCCGGTGGATAGATGCTGTGTCTAGGAATTCTCAGAAGAGAAGCTGCCCAACAGGAAGACAACATCACGTGTTCAGATGGATAGAACTTTGGTACCTCCACTTTTTTTAGGGGAAAGGAACAATCACAGATTGTGTTTAGTCACTGTTGTGGTTTGGATTGGTCTCCTTTTGGTGGTGCTGTTTGGTGAGGTTTGTGTGGCCTTGGTACAGCATAGATTTTGACATTAGACACCTCACACCACTTGCAGTTCATTTCTCTGCTTCTTGTTCCAGTCACCATGTCTGCCACGTGCTGCTGTGCTGGCCTGGTCATCATGGACTCTAATCTTTGGAAACCATAAACTGAAACAAACTCTTTTTTTATTTTTTATTGATTTTATTGAGCTCTACATTTTTCTCTTCTCCCTTCCTTGCCTCTCTTCTTCCCTTCCACCCTCTCCCATGGTCCCCATGCTCCCAATTTACTCAGGAGATCTCATCTTTTTCTACTTCCCATGTATACTAAATCTATGCATGTCTCTCTTAGGGTCCTCATTGTTGTCTAGGTTCTCTGGGATTGTGATATATAGCCTGGTTTTCTTTGCTTTATGTTTAAAAACCACTTATGAGTGAGTACATATGATAATTGTCTTCCTGAGTCTGGGTTACCACACTCAGTATGATGTTTTCTAGCTCCATCCATTTGCCTGCAAATTCCAAGATGTCATTCATTTTTTTCTGCTGTGTAATACTCCATTGTGTAAATGTACCACATTTTCCTTATCCATTCTTCAGTTGAGGGGCATTTAGGTTGTTTCCCGGTTCTGGCTTTGACAAACAATGCTGCTATGAACATAGTTGAGCACATGTCATTGTTGCACTGTTGAGCATCCTTTGAATATATACCCAAAAGTGGTATTACTGGGTCTTGAGGAAGGTTGTTTCCTAATTTTCTGAGAAATCACCATACTGATTTGCAAAGGGGCTGTACCAGCTTGCACTCCCACCAGCAATGCAGGAGTGTGAAACAAACTTTTCTAGAAGTTGCATCAGCCATGGTGTTTGATTAGAGCAACAGAGGAGGGAATAATACAGTCAGCCATCTTCAGTGACTCCCCCTCTTTAGAGGCAAGCAGGAGCAGGGAGGTGGGGCAGGTCAGAACAGCTGGGGATTATGATTACTTATCAATAACGAGGGACTTACTCAACAGAATGTACAGCATGTAGCCTCTGTGAAAACGCCTTAGAATGGGTTCAGAGGACTTCCAGGTGGGTGAAACAGTTTCTGGGAGGGTAGCACTCCTGAGTGTCACAGAACATCTGTGTCCCCATCTCCACTTGCATACCTTATGTATTCTTATATAGTTATTTGGCTGTTTATTGAGTGTTTTGGTCATAATATAGTGATAATAGTAAGCCAGTTACTATTCTGTGGCCCTTTGTAATAAAATGTTGAAAAGGAGTGAGGTGATATTGTGGGATCTTTAATTTGTAGCTAACACAGACAGAAGTATAGAAACCCAGGGACTCAACACTTGAGTAGCTAGTATCTGAAGTGGGGGCATCTGGGAATTTGAAGTCCCAGGGCAGTCTGATACTATTGCCAGTATTTTTCAAAAGAATTAAATTAAACTGTAGGACACCCAGTTACTGTTCATAGAATTGCACACTTGGCTGGGATGGAGAAACTCATAGTTGTGTTACAAGTAGATGCTAGTAAAGTCTTATGTTCCTGGGAATGAATAACAAAACACCAAAAGTTTACACGAGAAAGGCGGGGTAGTTAATGGACATTGTTCCAGGAGGGCCTATGAGGGCTCATATTTATTCCTATTAAAAATGTCTTTATTATCAGAGTGTATATGTGTGTGTCTGTTTGGTGATTGTGTGCGTGTGGGTTGTGTATGCCATGGTACACCTGTAGACAAAGGACCACTTTCCAGGAGCAGATTTCTTCTTCCACAGTGGGATCTGGGGATCAAACTTAGGCTGTGGGGTTTGCATGACAAGGGTTTTTTACTGGTCAAAATACCTTGCCTGCTCTGGAGTTATCATTTTTTGAAAACAAGACTTGATTCTTTTACGTTCTCATTCGTATTTGTACCACATACAGCAATAGCTCTTAACAATTATTACTCTGAGATACAAATAAGAATAAATGTTGATTTACAATATCACATTACTGAATTGTGATGGGGATGTTAAGGGTTGGAGTGAGGAATCTAAGTCCATGTACACAAAGATCTACTAATCTTCTATCTTATTCTTTCTCAGAGATCTGACAATTTCCTGCACAGAACTTACTCGTCTGCTAGCCCTATATACCCTTGTATACCATTGTACAACTCTTTCTTAGATCTTTTATGAGTAGAAAAAGAAAACTAACTAACTCTTTCCCCAAGTTTTCCTTAAAAGGTTACAAACTGGTTCAGGGACAAATCTTATCACTGTAAGGTATCTGTTGGAGTTTTGGTTTGCTATGTTTGTTCTTTATATTTGTAGGAATTGGGCTGGAGAGATGGCTCAGCCATTAAAGGCTAGGCTCACAACCAAAATATTTGTAGAAATTTTCTCTGTGTGGTTTGTAGATGTTCGTTTGTATTATGCAGTATAACAGAAAATGTAAGAGAAGAGAAGAGGGAGAGGGAGGCCCGTGAAGATAGTGAGCTAGAAATCAACTGTCTGCTTTCATGCTCTCATTACCCTTCTGTCTGTATGTGCACTTGAAGTAGTAAAGACTTTTATTCATTGGATAATTAGTTTTCACAATCAGTTCAGAGTGTCGGGTCAGAAAGCAGAGTCACTGATGTCTATGTCTTTCTGTGCTCCTATTGGACTATAAACTTCTAGAATGTCTTATTATCTTTTTTTTATAAAACAATAATCTTTTAAATTTAAAATTAAACCTGAATTAAGAGCATTTGTATATACACACTGCATTTCTAAGGGCAGTTGGCTTAGAGTATTCTCTCTCTCTCTCTCTCTCTCTCTCTCTCTCTCTCTCTCTCTCTGTGTGTGTGTGTGTGTGTGTGTGGGTGTGGGTGTGTCTGTGTGTGTAATATTATCTATTATCCTGAAGACTTACCTTCATACTTGATTCAGTATTTTGAAGAGAAGGTTTATGTATGAACTATTGCTTATTATTTGCTTTCAAATGTCAGGGGATCACTTCCTCCAGCAGATTTTGTTTGTTTTTGTTAATTATCCATTTCCTCTGGAGTTCTGTTTTCTTCCCACTGGTAAACCGATTCTTCTGGTCATGCCTGAGTTCAATGTTCGCTTTTCTACTTTAAGATAATTATGAGGAACCCGGTAATATATTTGCCTCTGAAAGCAGTTTAGGGAAGACATCCCAATCACAGCTGGATATTTGGGATCATGAAGGGCCACAAGGCATAGAATGAATGCCCAAACATAGCATTATGTATTCTTTGGCCTAATCAATTAATTGGTGTATAAATCTTGTTTTCCCAGTCTGAAAAAAAAAGAGAATCAGTTATAGTTATCAAATATATTTTTCAGAAAAACAAAACAGGACCAGGATAAGACATTTACTTCATTTAAAAATGAATTAAATTTTTGAAATTTAAGACATGAAATTCAAATATAGAAAAGAAGATCTGTGTAGGCCAATGACTGTTAAAGGATAATATTTCTCAGTAGAATATTTAACAGCATGAGGAGCCATTCTTGTCACATATGGGAGAAATGCAACTGACATCTAGTAAGAGGAAGTCACGGATGCTGAAACACTTCTATACTCTTTCAGATTTACCGAAGAACGCGGCAACACTACTGAGCTGCTCTGCAGGGACAGAAGCCCTGTGTACTTGGTGATTCTGATGCATCTTTGTTTAAGAGACACTGGTAGATGTGTCAGGTTTCTTCATTTGTTAGTGGCTAGCATGTGAAGTCAAGCTCTTTTCCACACTCTGAGTCTGGCTAGCCTCAAGACCTCTTTGTGTGGCACCCTCTCTCCAATCCTCTGGTCTCAAGAAGTTCTCTTTGAGAAGTGGTCTGTGTCTTCTGATCTTTTATGTTCTGAAGAGTTGGTGTGGGTCAACACTTGGTTTTAGTCTACTGCAGTTATTCTACTCTGTGCTTTGGCAGAAAGTGGTAACATCTCTTCCAATGCGACTGCTAAGTGGAGAGCTTTTCATCTTAGGATTTTTGAGGCTGTATCTCATGTCTTTTTGGCTATAAGTCTGTTGTAATCATTTGCTGTGAAGCTCCAAGTAATGGTTGGTTTTAGTCTACTACCTCATACTTGCCGAATAGATTACCCATAGGGCTTAGCTCAAATGGAAATCTACACTGTATACATGAATCAGTGTATATCTCAAGTGATGGTGTTTGGGCAGGAGTTTCACCATATCAGAAAATGTACACTACATTTTCCTTCTACATAGTACAGAAAGGGAGCATCTAAGTCCTGAGACCACGAGCTCAGGGTTTCCATGAGATTGTTTTGAAACTTGAGAGGAAAACAGTTCTCAAGAAAAATGAGTTGGGAAGTCTCATGGAGCTGGGTGATGATTGTGCACGCATTTAATCCCAGCACTCGGGAGGCAGAGGCAGGTGGATGTCTATGTGTTCAAGGCCAGTCTGGTCTACAGAGCAAGTTCCAGGACAGCAAAGTGTTACCCAGAGAAACCCTATCTTTAAAAACAAAACAAAATAAAAATAGCAAAAAAAAAAAGAAAGAAGTCTTGTGGCTTTCCCACCCATCCATTCCCCTTTATGTATTCAAACCCTCCTTCCAGTGTTTGAAAAGCCAGCTTTTGCATGAGTCTTTATGACAGAGTGAAAGAATGCAAATCTTATAATTAAGAACCTGCTCTTC